TTTTTTTAATAGAAAGGAACATTTCTAATTCAAGTGCCACCTCTTCCAGGAAGACTTCCCTTATTCTGCTAATAGCAATTACTCTTCATCTGTTGTTCTGCAGTATTATGTTTGTACTTATGTTCTAATCCTTATAAGCCCTCACATCATCCTGCCTGGCACATGCCTACCTCCCTATACAACTGCTAGATCTTCAGGGCACAAACTCCCCCTTGTTCATCACCACACCTCCCACACTGCCTAGCACAGAGACTGCTCCCTGTAAGCATCAGTAAATGCTTACTGCGCTGGACTGAACTGCCTTTATAAATCCCAGAGAAGGATCAAGGAGGAGGCAGCAGGGCTCAGGAAATAATTAATCACGGGTTGATCAACATTTTTTCCTCTCCATTCGCTCCCCCAAACCAGCTGCGGCCAGTCCTTCCTGAGCCTGGCCTGCCGAGAAGCCTCCTAAGAAAGAATGTGGCTTCCTCTGTCTTCCTTCTGGAGGGGTTTGGATGGGTCACATTTCAGGAGGGTAGAAGTGGGGCCCAGAGACCAAGAGGGATGAATCAAATCACACAGCCTTCTAGTGGCTGTCCTGGAGAACCCTGGCAAGGGCAAGGACCTCTGCCTTGCATAGGAGGAGGGAAAGGCAACTCCCATGATGCCAGGACTTCAGTCAGGCTCCCCACAGGCGGGGCTGGAGAGAGCTGGGATTCTACGATGACAGAGATGTGTACGTAGCAAGGCAGGGCACAGGGCCGCGCGTCTCACCACAGATGAGGCCCAAAGGCTCCTGAGATGGTATGACCCTGTAGAAATCACTCTCGAGTCACTGTGGAAGTGTTCGTATCTGAAGGCTTCAAGCCAGGACATTGCTAAGAGAATCCCAGAGCTGCCACATGGATGGGTTCCGTGTCCAGGGCCTGATTTTTAGGAAGCCTCACTTGCAAAGTGGGCATTCCTGAGAGGGGTGGGAATGAGGGAGAGCCAATTAATCACTCCTCTCCAGACCATAACCCTGATTCCGTACGGTGAATGCTAGGCTGCCTGTGCATCATCCCCTTGGTGAATTCCCCAGAGCCAATGGGCTGCCATCATGCTAAGCTTAGGAGACTTCTGGACCCCTCTTTTCCTCACACCATCCTACGCAGGCAGTGGCCAGGGCTGAAAATAAAATTTTTGTAGATCAGTTTCAACATAGTTAGGAGCTCAGTCAGACTCAGCTTAAAGCCTATTGCTTTGTCTCATCCATATCAAACCCTTCCAGCTAAGAAAATCAGCCTGTGAGCAGACATTAATTTTAGTGAAAAGACAGGTCATGGCCCTGACTAATAGTGGATCACACCTGTACAAATCCAAAAGGCCCCAGACCCCCAGGCTCCCCAGACAATAAAGGCTGTTTCCCTCCTGGGATGTTGGGGAGTTAACCCAGAGCAGTGCAGACAAAAATCTACTTTTCTGGCTGCAAGGACCCTCTTACGGCTCCGAAGGGACCAGAAGAGTCATTTCCTTCCAGCGAAGGCATCATTTCAGCCATTGTCTTGGTCACAAGCCGTGTTTCTGCCAGACACAAGCACTGCTGGCGTCAAGTTCCCAGAGAGAGCTACTGTGAGTGGCGTCCCTGCTGGATGCCTCCCTGGGGAACTTTCCAGGCAACGCTTATACACACACACACACACACACACACACACACACACACACACACACTTACAGTCAGCTCAGGCCTACAGGCCCCACCCGAGCTTTCTAGAGCAAAGCTAGGATCCAGGGTTGGAGAGCCCTGTTGGGCTGGGAGACACCCATCAGCAGTCTCACAGTGCAGCCTGCTGGGCATGAGTGAAGGTGCAGCAGCAGGAGACAGGGGTGAGGGGTGCAGGGAAGGGTATCTTGCCTCCCCTCTGTCCACTTTCAACACCTGAGAAAGGAGCCTCAAACCCCAAACTGCCAGTCTAGGCTTGAAGGTCTATAGAAGGGGAAAGACAGACTTGGGGATTTCAAAATGCAAACAGTTCTCCCACACCCACTGAGTTCTCAACTGCTCAATGCTTTAGAATGTTCCAAATGGTTGGCATAAGGGAGGAGCACTGGGGATCCACAGGAGGAACAGAAGCTCCATGCTGAAAATAAGGAGGTGAGTGTCCAAGGAAATAGGTGGGAATACCTCTTGTAAGCTTTGTACAAATTATCATTTCTAACTTATATAAGATTCCCCTGCTTCATATATGTTAAGAAAAAAAAAAAGAAGAAGAAGGTAGCGGGAGGGGAAGAATGAAGCGGGGGAAATCGGAGGGGTAGACGAACCATGAGAGACGATGGACTCTGAAAAACAAACTGAGGGTTCTAGAGGGGAGGGGGGTGGGAGGTTGGGTTAGCCTGGTGATGGGTATTGAGGAGGGCACATTCTGCATGGAGCACTGGGTGTTATGCACAAACAATGAATCATGGAACACTACATCTAAAACTAATGATGTAATGTATGGGGATTAACGTAAGAATAAAAAAAAATAAAAAAATAAAAAATAATAAAAAAAAAGATTCCCCTGCTTCTGCCAATCTTTTTCAGTACTGACATATGGGTACAATGTCTACGCGAGGCACAAAGAGGGTACAGCTCACATTAGTAAGTAGCAATGGAACAGCACTGACAGTGTGGGGCCAAGTGAGGGCTCAGGGCAGGCAGCCACAGGTGGGGGGTGGGCTCTGCGGGCCGGGTGTGTCCCGATAGGTGGGGGCAGGAAAGATGGAGAAGCAGCTGGAGAGAAAGGGCACTGAAAAGCACCCACAGGACCTGATATCAGAGGGGGCAGTGGGAAGTGAGAAAGGAGGAAGGAGGTGGCTTTGACAGAATCAGAGTGAGCTGGGCCATTTGGAAGGCAATGTAATGTGAGTTTCAGGTGGCACCTGCTGAGTCTGGGTATCCATTCCCCACACCCTGCACCCTCTCTTCTCTTCATGAACCCTCCAGCAACCTGCTCTTGCTTACCTGTCTTTGCTTACCCACCTATTACTCTGCTTGCCCCTCATGCCTCTGGCCCTTCCCTCTCTCCCCACGACCGTCACTTTCTCCTTCCAGCAGCTCCTTGAGGTCAGAGAGTTTCTTATACCACTGGGTAGACAACAGCCCCCTAGGGCCCTCACATGCACAACCTCCAAGAGAAGCCTGAGGCTCCAGCCTTCCTCCCTCCCAGCCAAACCAGCCAAGCTGCTGGCCTCGCCCGGGGGCTGTGGGAGCTCCCTGAGCCATCTGATGTGTGAGGAGCAGTGGACAGCCTCCAACTCTGCAGCACACCATGCCCCGTCTAGACAGATTTGAGCTCTGTGTCCTCAGGCACCGCCAGGCCCCAGAGCGGGGCTCTGCTCCAAAGGCAATTCTTCCCCTGCAGGTGAGGCTGCTTTGGTGGCCAAAACTGAGTGCACATTGGAGCCATTTCCCACTTAGCTGGCGGCCAGTCACCTAAAGTCTCTGGGGAAAAGACAAAGCTCTCTGGTAGGGAGAATTCTTATTTTTTAATCATATTTTTTAAAAAAACGAATGAGTAGTTGGAGAAAACAGGCGACAGAGTGGGAGGCCACTTGGGATGCAGAGAGAAAGATCAAAGCCCACCAAGCATGGAGGAAACAGCCTTGGTGTGGCCCAGAGAACAGTCTAGGTGGCCCATGCTCCATACAAGGCAGCCTGGGAATGGGAGGCACAGGGTGAGGAAGCCTCAGCCACAGGCACCCCACGGCCCTGCTCCGTGACCCCAGCACTGCAGTTAACGGTCTTCAGCTGGAACAAACACCTGCTGTCAAGAGACGTCCAACCAAGCTCCCAGTTCCCCGGGAGGGCCGTCATATCTCTGTGTGGGCGGTGAACCTACCCAAACTGCGGCCCCCAGGCTGCTCTCTTCTTCCAAGAAGAAGCTAGAGTTCCTCCGCCTGGACACAATCCTTCTGGCAGCTGCCCCCTCACAGTCCCAGCCCCGGGCAATTAGCCAGGGACACTCTCTGTGTTTGCCGGCTGATTAATTAGCTCATTTGAAGAGCCACAAGTCACTGTGTGGCAGTGAGGCCATTATGTCAGTCATGGGGCAAAAGTCCCCATCGTCCCCAAATGAGTTTGTGCTACCAAATTTCCTCCCAGATCTCTCAGTTCAGTCTCCCATTTTTTTCCCCCCAATTTATGATAACCAGGATCCTGGAGACCATGGAGAGAACATGGCTTGCCCAAAGAAGCCACAGCCCATAGAGGTGGGCCCGGTCTCCACTCTCAGCCCAGTGCTTTCCCACCTCACAGTGTCACCTCCCAACATTCCAGCTGGGTAAAAAGCTGGGCTCAACGAACCCACTGAGCTGCTAGAGCCCACAACCGACTTTAGGCTGGTCAGACCGACAGCATTCTAGTAAGTTCTCTCAAAGGACTTTCACCAATGTTCGGGAGAAGCTAGGGAAACTCCCGAGGTACCAAGACATCATTTGAGGGGCAGCACTGAAGGGAGGGATTCCAAGACCCTGTCTCTTCTCCCTTCCCACCATAAAAAGCTGACATGCCCTCTCAGACCAGCCAGCTTATTCCTCATGCGATTTGCCAGGTCTTCCCTTCTCTTGGTCAACACCGTGGCCACTTTTGCATAACCTAAGGATCTGCTTCATCCCATCCTTCTCCAGGACAAATCTGAAGGGACAGTAGATAAGAGTGATAACTGCATTCTCTCTCTCTCTCTCTCACACACACACACACACACACACACACACAGAAGAGCAGGCAAGGAAAGTATAGTGCACCATAGTGCTGAAGACCTCAAGACGGAAGTCATGGTGTATCCATTACATTATCTGCTGCCCCACACAGACCCCATCCCCCTCCCTGTCCCTGAGCTGCTTCCCCATGCATCAGAATAGAGCAGGACAATCATAGCTCAGAAAAGCAGGTCCCTCTGCTTGGCCAATAGATTGCCAGGGGTTAAGAGGGTTGACGGGTATCTTTCAGAATCTGCAGCTCTTGGGTCCTCCCAAGAGTGCCCCTCACGTCTTACCTGATGAGGTCGATAGGTTGAAACTTATAAAACACTCCATAGCGTGCCCATTCTCGATACAGCAGCTAAAAAAGAAGAGGGAAACAGATTAGGAGTGGAGGGGGCAACCATTCACCTTTTGTTTTGTTCACCTTAGCAAGTCAGAATTGTATCCCCCACAACTACCCTAGCAAGTCAAAACGGAATCCCCAAAGCCCAGCTTCTAGGAAAATTCTTAAAAGACATCCACAAGGAAGGCTTCCAAAGGTGGGAGGCTACAGAGGCTGACTTCCCTTCCCCACGTAATAAAGGTGACCTTCATCACACTCCAGGCCAGCACCTGCTGCACCTCCCAATCATAACCATCATAACCCCACCTTCTTCACTCCCTTGCTTTGCTTAGTCCAGCAAAATGAGCCTGGTGTCCCTTCATTCACTCATAAACAAGTGTTTACTGAGCATCTACTATGTGCCAGACGCTGGACACAGCTGTAAACGAAAGTCATTTCTGCCATAGAGCTTACACCCTGATGTGTGGAGACAGAAACATGTCAACATCCAAGATTTATAAATGTCATGCAGAAAGCTAAATCAAGGCAAGGGAGTAGAACACGAAAGACAGGGGAGTGGGGGAAGTGCTATTTCAGACAGATGGCAAGGGAAGGCCTCTCTGAGGTGACATTCGCGCTGAGACCTGAAGGAAGTGAGGGAGTGCACCCGGCAGAAGAACACTCTTCCTGTGCAAATGCCCTGAGGAAAGTGCATGTGGTATGTCCTGGGGAAAACAGGGAAGCCGTGTGGCTGGGGCAGCGTGAGCATGAGGCGAATAATCAGAGATAACATCAGAAGGTACTGAGGTGGCAGATCACTTGGGGGCTTGCAGGCCATGCTAAAACCTTTGCACTCTGAAGGAAGCCAGGGGGAGATGTGCAGCAGTGAGGAGAGATGATCCGGCTTGGCCTGCAGATCGCTCACACCAGCCCCCGTGTGGAGAAGAGACAGAGGGCTAGCATAGGAGCAGGGGTCTCTGTAACTGTCCAGGACAGATGGAGGCGGCCTTCACCACAGAGGCGGTGGGGGGAGTAATGAGAAGTGGGTGGTTCCGCTTATGTTTTAAAGGTAGCGTAGGATTTAGTGTTGGATTGGATGTGGGGTGGGATGGAGAACCTCTCCTGAGGCGCTGAGTAAATGGTGACTCCATGCGCTGTGGAAGAGCAGGTGGGGAAGGATAGGACCAGGAGTTCACTTTGGGATGTGCCAATTTGAGGTGCCCTGGAGGCATCCCCGTGGGGCTACTGAGTAAGCAACTGGATGCAAACATCTGGATTTCAAAGGAGCGTCCACCTCCTAAATTTACAAAGAAGATGTAAATTTGGGAGGTGCCTGACAGGAGATGATCTATGGGTCATTAAGCTATGGATGCAACCACTGAGGGAGAGGAAGTAGGTAAAGAAGAGGTGGGACAGTGGGGCCCTGGTGCGGCGACCTTCAGAGACCAAGGAGATGATGAGCAGCAAAGGAGATGGAAGAGCCGCGAGCGATGTAGAGGGCTAGATACGTGTGGTGTCCCAGAAGCTCAGGGACAACTGGTTTCGAAAAGAAGAAAATGCCCCGCTGTGGCAAACACTGCTCATGGGTCAGGTCAGGTGGGAATGGAGAAGTGACCTCCAGATTCGGTGACTTTAAGGTCACTCATGACCTTGACAAGAGTTGTTTCCGTGGCAGTGTGGGGGCAACACCTGAGTGGAACACTGAGGAAGGAAATGATGCACCCACATCAAGGCGTGCCATCTTGTGATGTCTGCACAGCAATTTTAGCAGGGCTAGCATGTGGACAAAACCTAGGTGTCACTCCTGGGGCATTTCAGTTTCAAACACCTGGCCAGCCAGCTTCACAGATTATCCCCAAGTAAATGAAGTAATTAGACATCCTCTAGATATCCACGCTGAAGAGCTATTAGCATGTAATCAAATTATATGTCTAGACTTGACAAGTTTGCCAGACACTGGCTATCTTGTTATGCTCTCTATTCTCCTTACACATCACATGGAATTCACGAGGAATTCTGTCCAGGAGAACCTGCCCTAACTAGGTATTTTGGATATCCAGTTGAACAGCAGGAGGCCACCCTTTTCACCTAAGACCCTTTAAAGACATGGTTTTTTCATAAACTGACATAAGAACTGGCATTCCTCCTTAATGGGTTTAGACCTTTATGGTCATAGTCTCTCCCAACAATGGCGAAACAGAACCCGAAACCTCACGGACCCTGACAGAGCAAACTGCCACCACCATGAGCACCACATGCAAAGGAGGAAACCCAGGCACAGACAAAGGGGTTACTCCGAGCCTGACTGGCAGAGGAGGATGTGAGTCCGCGAGCTCAGATGCCGCTCCTAACAGGCAGGTGGCTCCTAACCAAATCTTGCTGTTCTCATTAGATCTCCTCCTCCCCTTCACCTCAGGTGCTTCTACTGCCCTGGGTCTTTATTCCCTCCGCTAGTGCGATCCCTGCACGCACCAGCACCTGGCTGTCACGGTGACATCATTTGTGGCCCTAAGGGAGGCCAGCATGCGTCAGGAGGTACGGGCAAGGACTCTTCTGAGGGCTGTGGGTCGGCACTGACTGCCTCCCGGGCTCTGACCTCCAGAGCGGATTCCTCTCCGAGTCACGCATCAAGCCAAAACCTGAGCCTGAGAGCACCCATCTGCCACTGCCCTGCAGGGAAAAGCTAAATGTGCTCTAAGAACCAGGATGGCACAGTTGGCTCCGCCCCAAACTGAGAGCCATGCTCACCAGCCTTACCCCTGCTGGGATCAAGAAACCTCTGGCGGTCCCTTCCTCGGTGTACTGCCCTCTGAGCACAAAGCTAGATTCAGTTTGTGGATATGGATGAAGGTGAGCCAAGAGAGCTGTATGAGCTCAGTGCAGCCGGGCTGCCCCTGCAAGGGAGCACCAAACCTGGGAGTGACACAGCAGTTGGGGTCGAATGCCCACGTGGCTCTGCCCAGGCCGGCTCATGCCTCACTGCAGGGGTGGGGAGCACTGTAGACCCTTCCCCCTCTCTACAAATGTTCACTCACACATACTCAGAGACAAGTGGGTCATGCTAAAGCCCAGGCTGCAGGGTCCCAGAACAGACTAGCAGTCGGGGTGGAAGGAGGCATGCTCCGGAGTCTCTGCCCCATGGGGATTAGTATGGTGGAGTAAAGTGCAGGAAGACATCCACAGTATCTTGTAACAATCTCTTTAAATGGGCAGTGTCTAGATCCTTCTAATGCAGCTTTTAGCAAATCCACCTTCTCCCTCAGAGCTACACCAATGTCCTCATCATGACTGGCCAAGCCTGCGAATAGATTAGGGAAGGTCTGCAGCTCCCTCTTAATGGACAGTGCCTTATATCAGAGGCCCTGGATATGGTTCCAGACATGCCAGCCTGACCCCAAACCTCTACGGCAGGAAGCCACGATCCACAGGGACTACCCCGCCTGATGGATCAGAACATTCAAGCAGCCAGTCGGCTCTCTGGGGGTCACATTTGACAGTGGGTCAGTGGGTTTAAGTATTTCATGAAACCATAAAGGAACCCAACTGTTAAAACCATTTGCAATGCCAGAGAATGGCAAGATGTTTGAGACTCCCAGCTCTCCCAAAGGCCTCAGGCTCCTCAGAGAGTGAGACCTCCTAACAGGAAGAAAGATGGCAATGCAGCCAACTGAGAGCTGGTGATGGGACAGGGCAAACTGAATGGGAGAGAAGGGAATCCTACTCCTAGATCCTGCAATGACCTGTTTGAACTGTTGGCAAGTCACTTCAACTCTCTAGGCCTCCTCTATTAGCAAAATGAGTGCAGGAGGGGGAAAATCAATCCTCAAGTGAAACCCAGGACCAAAGTACCTTTCTGGTCAGAAAAACAGAAGTGACTCTCTTCACACACCTTTTCGTGGGGCCACTTTATAACCATCCACTAGAGAAGACAATCATCTGCAAAAGCTGCAAAATCCAAGACCCAGGGTTTAAAAACTGCTAAAGAGAATCACAGTCCAGTGATGTGCCTTAGGCTCCCCTGTACGTAGGTGAGGAAGCTGCAGGGAGCTGGCGGGGCTCGGGCAGCCCTCCAAAGATGCTTACGGTCACTTCCCTGGGAAGCTTGAGAAAACCAGACAGGTCTGGCTAACGTGGAATTAAGTGGCCACTGGCAGCGACGTAACAACCCATCCACACCCACATTGCTCCCTCTTCCTGCTGCCCTGCTTTCTAGAGAGGCGGAAAAGCCCTGTTCTCCAGAGTCAGGGTGCATCTTGTTGATTACCCTCCAGGAACGGGGAGAGACTTCCAGCCCCTAGCTGGAGCTGAGTCACTGAGGCTGCACAACTGCACTAGGCGAGCTGGAAGGGAAGAAGATTGTATTCTCAGGGGTCTCAGGGCTTTCCTGGGATCTGCCCGTGAGGAGCCTGGGCCTCAGGGAGATCAGGGGAACAGGCACGAATTGCAGGGAAGAGTAAAGGAGGACATCCAGGTACGAGCAGGACAGGCAGCTTGGGATGCCCTTGCAAGTCACCTCTACAGGCCCCCAGAGGGGGGATCCCACTGCAGCTCCCAACCCTTCTCCACGCCCTCCAGCAACAGATGCAAGGATTCTCCCTGGCACCCAACCAAAATCCTTCTTGCAGCCCTCTCCAAGAACACTAGACTATTATAATTCAATTAAAATGAATCAATATGCTGCACGTATTCAGAGGTTTGGACTCTTTCTTCTTGAGGATCCTTTTAGGCCCCACCTATATACCACTGAAACTGCAGGAACAAAGCCAGCGCGGTGCTGAGAATTCCCCTTGCCATACACAAGACGCTGAGTACCTGGCTATCCAGGGCTGGCTGGCCTTTGGACACCAGGGCTTTTGTCCTGACTCGACAATCATTTACAGCCATTGGAACCATCTCCTCACCTTGTTGGGAATCAGTTTTCCAACCCAAATGGACAGAAAAAAAAAACCTTTTCCTCTCTCATGGATTCTCTTACCCCCACCCCAGCAAAGCCTAGTTCCGTAACCATGACCCTGGCAGAGGAAAATAAGGACTGGCCAGCAAACTCAAGGCAAAGACACAAGAAAGGGGCCTCCTGTCTTTCAAAGATAACTGTCTGCCTTTTGACATCAACTTTGGGAAACATCCACCAAGGTGATGCTCCATCTGAGCTGGTCTCTCCCTAACTCCCAGCTTCTACCCATTCTGCCAGTTCTGCTGTGCATTGGGAATAATTCTATTGGCCTAAGCAAAACATTTCCTGAAAGGAAAAATTTTTGTTACAAGATTGTGTTGTTAATAATAACGCAACATCATTCCAAAGACAAACATATATTTCAGATGGTCTATAATTTGCTTCCCTCTGCCTCTGTGCAGATAACAGAGGTCTGGCTGATTTCTCCCAGGAGGTACTGTGTGTTCCTGGTCTCTGGAATGTTCCTATAAAGTGCTCCACCTCACCGGGCTGGGGTCACCACCCACTCAGCAGGAGGATTCTTAGGTGGGCAGTGGTGGTGATCACTCTTTAAAGGGGAGGAACATGAAATGAGAAAGTGGGAGGACAGAAAACGGTTGGGGTGAGCTAGGTGAGATGTGAGGAGAAACGCTTCCTCCTTTTCCTTTAACTCTGATCCGGGACTTTTCAGGAAATTAAACACCGAGACTATTAGCATCAGATAGAAAACAGATGAGGTTAAGACATCGCAATACTACAGCAGATTCCCTGGGCAGGCAGAGAGGGGACATGTGTAAGCAATCACAGCAGTATTTCTGGAAAAGACCTTTTATGTTTTTAATACTTAACACTTCATAACAGGGACTAATAGGCAGGATAAAAAGAAGGCTGCTCAAAAGGCAACTTGGGGGATGAATAATTTTCCAGACAACAGAGCTAGGGTGGGGAGGGAGGGGGGCGCTCCTCGGGCTTCAATTCCTCAGCCCTCCCGCCCCTGCCCTCCCTCCTCTGCTCGCCAGAGTTGCTGATGGCTGGGGGAAGCTGGGTGGGAGGATGGCATGAGGGGGTTGACAGCCAGATGGGGCAGTCCCCACTATAAAGAGGCGGGTGGTCCTTAGAGTGCCATGTCATGGCAGGGGAGGGTGGTGCACCCATGCAGAAGAACGGGGATCTGGATGAAAGGCCGGGAGAGAGCAGCACAGGCAGGTGCTGTGACTGGCACAGGAGGGGTCCTTCCAAAGGGATGTTTTCCCTCCCCTAACTGTAACCTCTGATTAACACAGCACAACTGAGCCTCCCTCTCCCTCAGATTTCTCAGCTCTAATTTGGCAATGGCTATCCCCCACTTGTCTGCCTCAAGGGTAAGAAGAATAAGTTAAAGATGACCCCCACCCCTGCAAAAAGCCACCATGGCATGGATAATAATACATTTTTAACAGGGACACTGGCTCTGGGAGTCAGAGGTGTTCCAAGCCTCCACTCTGTTCCCTGTGGCAATGTCACCGTGGGCAAGGTGCTCACTCCTTCTGTGTCTCAGTCTCCCCACCTAGAAATTATGGAATTTGGACTCTCAGTGTTTCTCAGTTGAGGCCCCCCAGTCATCGGGGGTGGGACTGCGGGATGCACCTCAGGATGGTGAGCACTGCTGGCCCTCCAGGCGCTAAATGCCCGTAGCACCCCCGGACACACGCTGTCATGTCGATGACCAGAAATGGGCCCCACGGTTCCAACCCCTGGAGGGCAGGGAGCTGTGGAAGAACTGCTGAAAAATACTTAAGCGGGTAAACAGGACGTTCAGGACGTGCGGGGCTAGTTCCACACCCACCCACAGTCCCCCGCGCCCCAGCGCTGCGTGCGCCCCAGGGCCGGCTTACCTTTCTGTCATTCGTGTCATCCCCTGGGCTGTCGTATTCACCCTGTAAGAGAGAAAGGAGTGCTGCTGTCTCAAGCCAAGGGAATTATCAAAACCAGAGAAAGGAGTTTCTTTTCTATTCTCTGGCGTCCTCCCTTTCTCTCATTCCCCTTTTGAGGAAAGTCGAAAGCGCGCCCTGGGAAGGAGCCAATATTCCGTGTTGTGAGGCAGCAACACGTGCAGTGTTTCCTGTGGACAGCTTTGCACACGAAGATGCTCCCCTCCGACGCGTCCGCGATCAGCCTCCTCAGAGCAAAGGCAGTGGTGGAGCACGTGCCTGGCATACCGTCTGGAATCACCCTGCGCCATGGCACACTCCCCCCCACCCCGACCCGTCCGCTGTCCACAACATCATACATGCCCACGGCAAAGCTATCGGTGGGCAGAGACTGTCATCTGGAAATTCCTTCGGGCCCTCAGGGAGCCCCCCGCTCCGCAGCCTCATTTGGCATAACCGTGTGACACACGCGAAGGAAGTGACCGGCCAGAGAGGGCATTTCGTTCATGGGCCAGTTAAGTTCTTCGCGAAGCGTCTTGAAGGTCGCTGCCCTGTTTCTAACACGACCCCCCATCGGGGGAAGCTTTACTTACAGTCTGTCTTGTTTTCTCTGCTTAATCAAACAAGAGTATAAGGAATTCTGAGAGATTTGCTTCAAAAGTGTCCAAATCTATTTTAAGAAAGAGACCTGATACTATGTACTTGCCTGTTAAGGATGAGGGATTTCACACCCACACAAAACGATCACGTACAAAGGATCGTTTTCGGTCGTTTCGGGGTCTGACCACACCTGGGCCTTCGAGCCTCCTTCCACCGCCACCCACCCACCTTCCCCACCGCCTCCTCCCTTCAAACACTCGCACGCCCCGTCTGCCTTCTCACACCACCTCCCAAAACCGCTCGCACCCAAACCAGCCGGCCACGGGGGCAATGCCCGGAGAGACCGTCGCCTCGGAGGAGATTCCCGTCGGCCCTGAGGGGGCCACGGTCAGCCCAGGTATGTGAGCGAGCGGCGTGACCCCCTCCTGCCCCGCCCGCGTGCATGCCGCTGTGTCACCTGTGGTGCGCAACTGTTTGAAGACCGTGCGGAGCGCGCGGCGGAAACGATACTCACGTCATGAAGAGGGTAGGCAGCCTCGTAGATATTGTTTGCTATCAGAGAGTTAATGCCTGTGGAAGAAGGGGAGATGGAAAAGGTAACCGTAGGCCAGGGGTTTCTCGACTTCACCTCTGTCAGGAAACGTTACCCCCCACCACCTCCCAGCTGAGGTTCGCTGTGTGCTCCTCCTCCATCACCCCCAATCTAGAAGTTTCTGTGGAGCTTCAGTTCTTAGCATGAGAATATCTGTGTTTCCCACATGCAAAGTTATGTTCCAGGATCAAATGTGCTCTCTGAAACCTCACGTGCCCCCCCGTCCTCACCCCCCCCCAGAACACTGCAGACTCTCTGCCACCACCACCGCCGCGGCCATCAGGTGACACTACCTGTGTTCAGTGACAGTCCAGGAATGACGACAAGTTATTATCATTAGGATCCACATGGTTATACGTCAGAGCATCCCACGGCACAGTATCGGAACTCATCTCTGGCGCCTCCCTGTTCCTTCCCAGAGCAGTGTTTATCCCTGCCCATGGCTGGTCTGCCTGGACCATTAGCTCCCTGTGGTAGGGTGCCCCAGGGCAGCGGTTCTCAAAATGTGGTCTGGGGAACCCTGGGCATCCCCATGACCCTTCAGGAGGTTCACAAGGTCAAAACTAATTTTATAATATAGCACTAGGACATTATTTGCTTCTTCCCTCCTATTCTCTCATGACTACAGAGTGGGGTTTTTGTGACTGGGATGGGATCATCCCCCCGACAGTTAATGGAATGTGTGCTTGTGTATCCTTGTGCTTTAAAATTTTCTTAGTGCTAACTTCTAATACAATAAATATTGACTGAGATAACCCACCTAAACAAAAGTCCTTTGGATATTCTCAACAATTTTTAAAAGTGCAAAGTGGGGGCGCCTGGGTGGCTCAGTCATTGAGCGTCTGCCTTCGGCTCAGGTCATGATCCCAGGGTCCTGGGATCGAGCCCCGCATCGGGCTCCCTGCTCCACGGGAAGCCTGCTTCTCCCTCTCCCACTCCGCCCGCTTGTGTCCCCTCTCTCACTGTATCTCTCTGTCAAATAAATAAATAAAATCTTTAAAAAAAAGTGCAAAGGGTTCTTGAGACCACAAAGTTTGAAAACCACACAAGAGATTCATGTTTTAATCCCAACAGTATTTCACACCACATGCACATAGCAGACCCTACTAAATATATGCTAAATGAGTAAATGACTCTGTCCCTATAACTCCAGCATAGTCACAACAGAGAACTTTCTGCCCAGCACAGAAGCAGTGTTGTTTACTCGTTTCATTCACAGTTTTATTCAGAGACTACAAAATGGTCTGTATGTTCTGACTCAGGATAGTCTGTCCTGGGTCACTGGCTCCCATATGGGAGACATTATATCCCGCCAACCCCCAGTACTGAGGACCCTACCATGCAAGGATGCATATGTAATCATGAAGAGGGAGGAGAAGGGGTGAGCTCTGGAACACGGTGATTTCCCTTGTCTCAAACACGCTTTCTACCCTGAACCATTCTTTCCAGAGAGACTGTAGACCATCGTGAGATGAGAAGAAAGAAAATTGGTTTTGGAAGGAAACACGTATCATGTACTAATGCTAAGTAATCTGCATTTGCACGGCTCTGGATAAACAACAGTGATGGTTAACAAATCTAGACATTTTCCACCTCCCCTTCCCAAGCGATACCCCACCCACATACAGAGACCGCAGAGGCTCTCAAACAATCCTCTCTCCTCAACGGCCTCCTCTTCCTCAAAGCCTGACCCTCTTGCCTCATTTCTAGGGCACGGGATGCCAGGAAGACCAGCTATGGGCCCCACGTGGAAGCAGAGGCCCTCGGGAGACTGCAGGGGGCGCTCTCAGAAGTGACCACTCTTCCAGGGAGCTGAGAGCGGCAGCATCACCGAGGGGCCAGTCCTTTCCTGATTTTAAGTTTCCTCCTTAGCATGAACATAAACCATCTGAAATAACTTTGGGGGGTGGGGGGAGCAGAGGGTAGGTAAAGGGAGTGTGGATGGGGGAAGGGTGCCCAGGGGCTGAACGAGCTGCAGCTCTGTCTTACTCACAAGACTACAATTTCACTTTGAGCGTCATTAATCAGTTCAAGAGCCATAACCACAGCAATGCGAAGCCTACAATAATCAAGGGGAGGAGTCCTGAGTCAGGAGAGGGGGAGGGGGTGGCTTGAAGCTCCAAAAGGGCTGTCGATGCAGATTGAGGCTGAAGCATCACAGGCGGTGCCAGCTCTAAACTAGACCACACCCTGTGCACTACTCCCCCCCGGCCCCAATGCCTGCACTCACACCCACGGTAGCCACAGCAGCAGCGTGTACCCTGAAGACAGGTCCCGAACTGCATGGAGAAAGTTAAACAGGTGTGGAATTCTCGGCTTTGCTGGGCACCGAGCACAGTAGCCGAGTGTCTGACAGCAATAAGCTGACAACCTGAATTCATGGGTCCTGCTGCCAAATCCTCAGAAGGATCTCAAATCACTGGAGGTCTAAAGCTGTGTACCCTACCTCCCATCTCAAATAAAGCTTCCTGAGTACCCCGTGCCTAAAAGAGCTCGCCTCCCTTGTAGGATGTCATCTGCCCATTGTTGTGTGTGTCCCCTGAAGGCTCACAAGGTACCCATTCCCACCTCCGCCTCACCTGTATCTCTCATGGCACCTAGTTCACTGCTGGGAACACAGAAGAGATAATGGCTGATGAGAGCAACCAGCCCCATGGCTAAACTTATTGCAGTATCTCTTCCCATTTATCACAGGCACCCGTCTTCCTCACTCCCCCAATTTTCTATGGCAACCTCTGCTGATGAATAACCTTTAAACTCTGGTTGATTAGTCTGTTTCCTAGAGAAGAAGCCCAACCAATGGTTCTTTGTCTTGGGGCCAATACAATTCAGGTCCTCAAACCTGAGTTATCCCAACCCAGAAAAACAGAGCCCCAAAATGCTCTAAGGGAATGTGCATCTGTCCTCCAGGGTTGTGTACCCCCTCTTTTCCAGATGGCATCATATGGGTGATCCCAATCAGCGGCTGCTGTAGAGGGAGGGAACAGCACATAAAAGGAGGAGGAACCGGGAAGGGGGAGGCAAGTTGAAAATAACTATTCATCCACAACTTCACCCAAGAATGAGAATTGCTTTGGCCTCTTGGGTCACCCACAGACTTCAGAAACCAATACCCCCAAACAAGCATGGAAATCAGTTTGAAAGAAGATGAAAATAATCAAACGGGTTTTTTTTTTAAGTCTCTGCTTTGAAAACTGAAATTCTGAATTTTTTCTTTTCTTTTCAGCAAAAATGAGCTAATTGGTTCCATCGTGCCCCATCCATCTGGCCATAATGGCAAAGCTTTCTTCTTCAGGATCACATCTAGTCTTTCCTCTCTGCTCTAGACCCAGGGAGAGAGAGCGAGACAGACCCAGCCTCTCATCCTACTGCCCCCAGAAGGGGAGCCAGGAAGAAGGAGAAAGCACAGAGGATATTGTCCTTTTCCTCTCCACACAAAGAGAAGCAGGGCCTGGGCTCAAACACAGCACAGCTCACTGAGGACTATCTCACTGATCCCTACAGTCCCTTTACGTCACTAGGTTCTTCAAACCTCTTGCTCTTAGAACTATAATCCCTAAAGGAAAAAGGCTCATGCTTCTCCTCTGCCCAGCACCAACCACAGCTCTACACAGCCTGACCTGGCCAGGTCTAGCAACACGGTCCCTTGGCATCCAGAAGGTCAGGGTCAAGGAACAGAGCAGGGTGGGCTCAGGCGCCAGGGCCTGTCCCTGAAAATACACACTCAGAACACAAAACCTGAGGCCTTAGCTTCCAAGGCATCTCTGGTTTCCTGGACACAAAGGATCAACCAAAGCAGAGTTTATGGTCGGCCTCCCAAAGAGAGCCTCATTAAATCTACAAGTGCTGCTGGGTGACAGGGACTGCAGCTCTATTCCCTCCAGGCCAAACTCAAAGGAAACTTTTATCCCATGGGACAGGTACTTAGAGGAGTGGTGAACTCTTGAAAACCCATTTGGTTTTGATTCCCCTCAGAGCAGGGCCCAGTCCGCCCAGCGCTCTGCTTTCATCCCCGTGCTCCAGCCGGACATAAATCTAAACCAGAGGCCCCAGACGGTGCATTTAACAGAGACTATATTTACCCATCACCAAATTGTCTTGACGTGTGCTTAATTACTTAAATGCCTTTAATCCTGAGCCTTTTCTTCTAACAAAATATAAACCAGTTCAGCTGGATGAATGATAAACCAGATGTTTACAACACACAACACGGTCTGGCTTCGGTCAAAATAATTAAGACATTGTCTCCTGAGTGGGAAGGAGAGATGCCCAAAGCATACATTTGTTGAAATGCTCTGACACCAAAGTGTCTATGAAAATGTAGTTCCATCAATCGGTAATTTTCAGTCCATGAAAAGGCAGCAATAACTTCCATATGAAAGAAGTAGAAAAGGTGTCTCTCTCCCTCTGACATGGTCAAGCGGGCTTGGGTTTCTCTCCACAGTGAAGTGCACTTTAAAGGCATATAGTCAATGATATTGCAATAATGTTGTATGTACTTATGGTGGTGAGCACTGGTCAATGTATAGAATCATTGAATCACGATGTTGGACACCTGAAACTAATATAACACTGTACGTTAATGTTAATTATGCTTCAATTTTTAGAAAGGCATTCCAGGATAGGGTGAATTTGCAGGGCCCTGACAGCTGACCTTATATTACGTTGATTAAGGAGGCATCATGGAGCTAGGCTGAGTTTCACTGGGCCAAGATTGCTCACACGCTACCACCACCATGCAGAACCCAAAGTCACAAATATATCCGGTCTCTGAACACTGTGTGTGCATTAGTCCATAATCCCTCACTTCCAGGGGTAAATAAGAGGGAAAGGATGGGTAACCCTCACAATTAAAAGTTAGACCATCCCCTCTAACACCATACACAAAGATAAACTCAAAATGGATGAAAGACCTCAATGTGAGACAGGAACCCATCAAAATCCTAGAGGAGAACATAGGCAGTAACCTCTTTGACAT